TTTATTTATTTTTATGTGTGTTACCTTATAACTTTTTACTGTGTGAACCTATTTCGATGATTCTTTTTTTATATGAAAGCTGATACTTTTCGTGTGGTCCCATATGAATTTGATCAAGGTCAGACCAATAGTTTTGAGTTATTTTTAATAACTTATATTGTAGTCGGCTGTACAAAATTTTTAATTTTAAATTATCTTAAAATTGGTTGCGAGTGTATTTGCAGCCCAAAGCCGACTTAATATCAGATGGACTGGAAGTTCGTTTATCGCTTCAATTTTATTTTAAAATAAAACTATACTTGTGCAGTGATGAATGAAAAAACATTAGACCATCGCTTGACCAAACGTGGACAGTATCTCACTGCTCAGTCACGTGTCCTTGTTGAGCTGCTGACACTTTAATCTCAGGCGAATTTCGTCAAAACTATCTGAGATTACGATTGTGATGATGACGAAGACCTGAAGGAAAATGGTTTCATTATTACAAATCCACTGATCATGTTTCAGATTCAATCATTATTTAAATTTGTGTTCAACTTAATATATTTGGTTATGTCTTATCTTTATTATTTTGCTCATGTATATAATGTTTACTTTAATCTCCTTCGCCAAAGATTTACCCGAAAGAGATCGGACTAAATAGGTCGGCATGTAATCGTACATATAATATATGGTTTGTTGTCAGTGTTTATGTATTTTAATGTATGTGTAAAATAAAGAGTATACAATAAAAGTTAATAACTAAATTCAAACTAAGAATCTAATCAGGTGAGCTAATAACAAAATAACCCGTTTATTTATAGAATGGTTTTTTATAGAATTAGGGGGACAAGCGAACACACAGCCCACCCGATGATAAGCGGATGCTGTGGCCCATAGATACGCACATCTATCAACGATCAAGAACCAAAACGCAGATGCGTTGCCACCCCAGAGAAACTCGAAAATGCCTCGTATCCAGTGGTTCTCTGGCTTCTGGGTATCTGGCTCTCAACACTCACCATGCGAAACACAGCATCATTGAGGTGTTATTTTAAACTGATATTCTGTAAAACTATTCGAAACCAAGGTTTTGTTTTTTTCAGATTTCGATGTGTTGTGATACGACTGTCACACATAATCACAACAGATATATATAGATACCTACCACGGCTGTTTGAAAAATGAAAAAAAAGATATTTTGCTATTATAAACAATTCAAACAATTAATAATATGCAATTATTGTTAAAGACAGAGTCTTGACCTCGCTGTGACAGTCCGGCACGCAGATTTAAGTCCGGTCCCGGCAGACAATCACTTTATTGATTTAACTTCCGTTGGCTCAATCTGCATTTACCAAACTCTACAATACGAGGATTTCAGGTTCAAGTCCCCCGTCAAAATAATGTTCGCATTGTTGTATTGTCGTTCCTTTGGCAATATTGTTGCTCAGATGTCGAGATGGCGATTAATGGTTTAGCTGGCGCACCCTGTTGTTCGAAATACCGTGAGGTTTATACGTGGTAGAGCCATGCTGCAGCTATATTATTAGTATAGGTGTAGCACGAATGACTCGGCTCGACCGGGGAAGGACCACGCTCTCACAGAATACCAGCGTAAAATGACAGCTTGACACTGCTGTGTTTCGTATGGTGAGTGTAGAGAACCGGAGACCCTTTATACTGGAAAAGAGGCATTCCATCTTAGTCCTCACGGGTGACAACGCATCTGCATTTTGATTCGTAGTCGAGGATATATGTAGATGATAGACATCACACATAGGGTCACAGCAACCACTTACCATCAGGTGGACGGTGTGCTCGTTTGTCACCCTATCATATAAAAAAAAGGTTCGTCAGTTGGTATACTTGTTCAAAAGTTAAAGGAACAACAGAGAGCCAAACAGCGCATTTTCTTCCGTTTCTTTGTTTTTTCAACTTGTCATGGTTATAGTTATATTCCGGCACGTTAAAAAATACCTATCTTTGTCAAATTTTGTAGACAAATAGCTACTTCCGAAGGTTCCTCTTCTGAAAGACAGCTGCAAACTGTACGCCTTATTGTTATATGGTTGACACGTCCTAGGCTTAACTTTGTAAGTGCCTCGTCAAATACATATTATGTTGGTTATGTCGTTCATTCATTCACTCATCGTTACAGCCTATCAAGTCTACTACTGAACATAGGCCATCCCCATAAATTGCCCCATATGGATGGTTGCCATAATTGCACGCTTGGCGGGCTGGTCAAAAACTGGAGTTTTTTATTATTTTTAATAGCTATAATGAAGGTGCTGCTGCCCATCTCTTTTTCAATTTCTCTCTGTTGCCCCGTATCATTACGCCCTCACTTCACGGCGACAACGCAAATGAGTGTACAATTCCCCCGGATAAATTGTAGTATGGATCGTGAAATTAAAAATGTAATCCAAACGAAAAGGATAACTATATTCTATTTTTGTATGAAAGCTGATACTTTTCGTGTGGTCCCATATGAATTTGATCAAGGTCAGACCAATAGTTTTTGAGTTATTCTTAATAACTTATATTGTAGTCGGCTGTACAACATTTTTAATTTTAAATTATCTTAATATTGGTTGCGTGTGTATTTGCAGCCCAAAGCTGACTTAATATCAGATGGACTGGAAGTTCGTTTATTACTTCAATTTTATTTTAAAATAAAACTATACTTGTGCAGTGATGAATCAAAAAACATTAGACCATCGCTTGACCAAACGTGGACAGTATCTCACTGCTCAGTCACGTGTCCTTGTTGAGCTGCTGACACTTTAATCTCAGGCGAATTTCGTCAAAACTATCCGAGATCACGATTGTGATGATGACGAAGACCTGAAGGAAAATGGTTTCATTATTACAAATCCACTGATCATGTTTCAGATTCAATCATTATTTAAATTTGTGTTCAACTTAATATATTTGGTTATGTCTTATCTGTCTTATTGAGATATATTTTATTTTTGTATTTTGAATTATATTATTCTCTAAGAGTTAGGATCCTTTTTCTGTCTGGTCTTTGTAGGTAGCAACCACGTAGGTACCTTCTTCTGCCAAATAGCACTGCCCAAACACCATTGCGTGCAATTTAGTGGTAGAAATACCAGTTGCCTGTGGGTGTCGTAAGAGGCGACAGGGGGAAATAAAACTGGAGATGGGCAGCAACATCTTCGATATAACAACTCGAAATAATAAAAACTGCACCTGTCAACTTCCTTACTAAACGTGGCAACTATTGCAAATATGTTTCCGATGAGGGACAGCCAGGCAGCTAAGCAACCTATGAGGGAGGCCTATGTTAAGCAGTGGTTTTTTGATACTCTGTAATGATGATGATGATGATTTTTAACAAGTTCTAAGCACAATTTCGTCGTCGAGGCAATGAGGTTGCGGTTAAGGTCATGTCACGGTCAAGTATTTACTCGAAGACACTTATAAAGGTTGGTTAAATGCGAAACAATCCTAGCGTTCAGTACTGTTGATGATATAAAAATGAATGGGTCTCAATCTAGTAACAAGGATCCAGTGAAATACTATTGGATTGAATAAAAAAAAAACTGTGAAAATATGTACAATCTTATTTTGTCTGATATTATGAAGTGAAACGCAATATGGTTTTCCATTTTTTTACATCAACAACGTAGATTATAAATTAATTTATGTTATCAAGATTTATTTTTAAAAACACGTTTATAATATAATATTATCTAAATAAAGTAAAATATTTAATGAAATGCTAAAAATAAATTTGATAAATTGTGCGTTTTAATGCTCTCCATTATAAGTTTGCATTGCGTTGCTATTTTTTTTTTACTTTAACAGCGAAACGGGAACCAAAAGTAAAGCACTGATACGAAAATTAAGTAGGAGAAGAGACATTTTGAACATAATTACTTTAAATATTCATCACACACCACCATTATTTATTATCACGTTTAAATTAACAATCCCTATTGATTTCTACTTCATAACAAAAAAAAAACAAATGCTTGTAATATATATAATAGAAAAACAGTTTTTTTTTCAAATAATTGTACATTAATATGACAAATTAGTGAATTTTAAATATATAATAACGTTATTTTTGTTAAACACTGTATCAATATTCCTTTCAGATTTATAAATTTATATATGGGTAACATTTTTCCATAGTCAAGCAAATATACAACCGGTTTACTAAAGACTTAAATACATTCCGCTTCGTTATACTTTTCGTATCGGATTATTTCATGAGAGCAAGTAGAGATCATAATACTGTAGAATTAAATAAAATGTTTATTACCATGTTAATTATAGCTATATATAAAAATGATATAAAAAAGTAAACCTAACAAAGTTTTCTTTATAAGCGTATTTCTTTACATCGACTTAATTCCAATAAATTTAATAAATAAAAGACATCACACTTTTCCGAGTCCATTCGATATTCTAAGTCTAGATAAACAAACTATATCTAATATCACACTTATCCTGTAACGGCGTGAATAGTTTTATTACAAATTTTAGAACAAACAAACACTAGATTTTCCACATAATTACGCAACTAGAGCAAACATCATTCCATTCTTACGTTTGGACCAAATTATTACAAACGCCAATCGATACAAGGTCACTTGTTTCCATTTTTCCAACACAAAGTAGAGTTTAAGGCGTTGATATCACTACAAACAATTAAAGCTCTTGCTTGGCGGCTTCCAGCAATCGCTCTACAAAGTTTATTTTATTACAATACACGCATCACATGACGTCATGTTGATTGACGTATGCGAGCGCAATCTGAATCTCTTTACTGTCCACTGGGTACTTGATACGCAACCGCCCACTTAGGTAGAAGGTAACAAATATATTTTATGCAAACGGATCTTCGTTTTATGCGTTACGCGCGCAACGGCCACCCTTCATCGGTAAGTTCGCGCTTCCTCAGCACGTCCCGGTCGCGAGAATCATCGCTCGCTATGGACGGTCAAGCCGCCTCCGTGATGTGAGGGTCTGTCGCTTAGCCAATATCAATTCACTCCCACAGGTAAACACTTGCACTGCTTGATCTTCTGTAACCGTTTACGTTTGAAAGGCGGATTTTGCCCTGGGCAACGCAGCGTAACCGTTATCCAGGAGAACTTTTTCGGTTTGCAGAACGAACAGGATTTGAACGCGGGCGGTGGACGTTCGTCATTACTGTCTCTACGTCGCGGGCCCTTAGGTATATAGAAGGAATTGCACTGTCCATAACAGAACTTATTGATTACGGTAGCCGGCAAACAACCCGGCTCACGGATTTTTTGCACTAATGATTCTGTTTTACACCAATCTTCTTTAAGATATTCCTTTTTGGTGACGAACAGAGCGTTCCTCGATGATTTAAGGATCTTTCGGAAGTCGACTCCCGGTGGTATTTCGGTACTCTCGTCTTGATCGGGGACTGAGACGACCATGGTTTCGGAGCTTCCCTCTCCGAGTTCGTTGCGCTGAACATAAGCGGATGAAGCCGTGGCCTCTTCATTTCTTCGTCGGGCGGCTATCATCTTCTCGACCTGTTCGGTGTCGATGATGTCCAGTATCGAGTCGGTCGGTGTGAACGGTCTCTTACTGCCCACGCCGGCACTGACGCTGGCTGCTAAGAGCGCAGCAGCCACAAGCCAAATGTATGATTTGGTTAAGTTCTCCATCTGAAACGAAAGGAAAATATTTCTAAATTGCTGTCCTTATGAATATGGTCAAAAAATATTTAAGACGTAAATAAATTGAACGTACATTTAAGCTATAGAAGGGAGTCGAAGTGTCGTAGGCAGTGCGTCGGTGTAGCTGGTCCGCAGGCGACGCGCTGTGTGCGTGTGCGCAGGGCCGGCCGGCGGAGCGGTAATGAACGCTCGCTCTCAATGGGCCGCCGCTCAATGAACGAGATGACTCACACACCGCGCCTCCGTCATAGAACCGTTACTATTAGCCGCTCTCCGCAGAACCGACAACTCGCACACGTGTTTCGGCTTACGTTCACAATAACGTCTCATGCATAATTCTCTAGATTATGCTTAACATGATAATGGTCTAACCTTTTCTTCGTAATAACAATGTCATTATGAATTATGAGTGTTACTTACAAAAGGCTTCAATAAATGACAAGAATGTTTTTAAAGAAATCCAAGACTATCTTTAGTTATTTCATTTTTTACAATTATAATTATTATTGTTATTTGTATTGTTGATAAATTCTTAGTCGTCTTTCAAGGGTATGAAAATTTTAATTTCAAATATGACGCGCTTTTTGATGTATTTAATTACTTTAGGGCAGCTCAAGCTATTCATGACAGCAAATTACATTCAACTCGCTATTTTTAAATGTTATCGTATAGAATAAAATAGAACATTTTTATTAAATATAGAGTACAAGGATAATTATTGAAAATAATTGATACTTTTACCACTAGTTCAGAAGAAACCTCTGTTCTGGAACGAAACAGCGTTTTTTAGATTTAAATTATATTACTAATATATACTATAAGTATCGTTTATATTTTAACAAGCATCTCAGAGATAAACTTCACTTAGGCATAAACACACGATGCCTTGTATAATTATTCTTTTGCGATAATAATCGGGAGAGATTTTCTCACCTATCGCCGCGGCGCCAAAGCAATCCGCTGCTTCGGCGCGAGGGCACGCAGGCGCCGGCGCAGATGGTACCTTGGACCAGATCCGAGATCAACACGTTTCCGCCCATTTGTGCTTCCCACAATGCCCATAGAAACCTAAGGGGTATCCGGAGCCTTCTGCGAACCGTAGGCGCTGTGTGGGTGCACTTAGGCTCAATTGCATTTTTAACATGGAATTGTTAGAAGAACCCGATAAGTTAATTGTTCGAGGCGCGGCTGAATTATGTGACTTTGTTTTTATTTTCAATTTATTTAGTTTTACAAAAATAATATGTCACTATGAACTAAGATATTATTATTAAACAATTAAATTACAAAACTAATAAATCAGTATTTTAAAATTTATTAAAAATCTAATTTTCCCTATAAAATTCTCCCTTACACATATAAAATCCTTGTTTTTTTTTAATAGAATAAGTGTGACAAACGAGAACACAGTTCACCTGATGTTAAATGGATGCTGTGGCCCTTCTACATTTATCGTTAATTAGCAGATGCGTTGTCATCCCTGAGGATGGAATGCCTCATTTCCAGTAAAAAAGGTCTCCGGTTCTTTACACTCAACATACGAAACACAGCAGTAAAATGCTGCTGTTTTACGTTGGTATTCTGTGAGAGCATGGCCCTACCCCGGTGGAGCCGATCCATTCGTGCTACAACCATAATATAGCTGTAGCGTGACGCTTGTTGTTTTTTACTGTTTATATCAAGCATATTTACGTTGAAAACGTTAGACAAAGTCTATAATTATAATAGGAGCCATATATTTATTTCTTTATAGTGCAATAATAATTATTACACTGTAATACAATCTTTGACATTAAATAGGACAACGCGGACGCTAAGTGGAAGGGGTCATTATCTGTTTAGGAGTCCGTTTCGTATGGTATCCGTCTATTTCTGCTGAAAAATAGCAGTTTTTGCAATGTTTTGTGGTATAGACCGTCAGTATAACTACAGGCTGTATGGCCATCCTAAGTACCAGAGGTGACAATTCATCTTCACTCTTCCTTTTTTGTGGTTGGCTGCAGGTGGTCATGGACTGCAGAAGCCACTTATTTAAGTTCGTTTGTCACTTTTTGTTACGCGCCTTAATATCTACTAAACCTGACTGCCTCGTTGGTCGTGTGGTTGTAGTAATGCGACTGCTGAGTCCCGGGTTCGAATCCCAGGTTGGGCCGAAAAAATCAGTTATTGAGTTTTTCCATCAAGAAATTCTCAGTAGCTGCCCGGAGTCAGGAAGTTGGCCGGTGTCTCACCCTCGTGCCTCGGAAATCACGTAAAGCCGTTGGTCCTGCCCCTGATCTCTCTCCGGTCGTGTCGGTTTACCGTCCCATCGCCTGTACTTGCGCATACACTTGGGCACTATAATCCTGTCCTGCGCCGATGGCTAGTCTCCGTTGAGACTGACCGCCGTGACAGAAATTCGGTCTGGAGGACATTCATTAATCTACTAAAAACAGAGGGTTTTTCTTTTACGATTAGTTCCCATTTTATTAACTACTTTGGGTTTGAATTAAATAGAGATTGTCTTCGTCTTAATAATTTAATTCTCTTCGTCTTATTTATTTAAAACTGCACCTCCACGCACTGCTTCCCTTTTATTTTTGGCTTTTTTGCGTTTTTACTATACTTAACATGCTAAGGCAATAAAATTTACCAAAATCTATCTTCTATACCCACACTTTGTTCAAGGAGAGTATGTGTTCGGATATTTATGGATTCCCAATAAAATATTGAAGCATTATGACGTGTTAAGTACAATTCCACTATGCTCTTTCAATGTTAAAACTTACTACGTATTTAAAATTAAAAGAAACAATATTAATGGTTAAAATCAGTCAATAACATTTTGGAATTTTGGGATATTGATTAAAAAGAAATGAATTTTACATATTTTTATAAAATTTTATGCAATAATATTTCGAAAATGTCACTTTTTATCTATACTAATATTAAAAGGAGAGAACGTGAATTTTGTGAGTTTGTGTACATGTGGAGGGTATTCGAAACCACTTCACCTATATTTGAAAAATTCTTACATCGTTTGGAAGGTATTTTATTCCTGGTGGACATAGGCTATATATTATGTATAATTATATATTTTGGCTAAAAATTTATGATGGTATTCGTCAACTAAGTCGGAAAAAGTCATATCTCTTGTGAGCTTTCATAGCGTGCGCTGCGTTAATAGTTAAAAGTTGCACGAAAATAATGCAATGCTGAATTCTTCCTCTTTAAAATTTCTAAAAAAGCCCAAGATAGCATATGGCTGTCTTTTAAGGACAGCACAGCTTTTTTTTAAATATAAAAACTCTCACACGACAAATTAATTATGGCGGTGATTGACGCGGCGCGGAGGGACATATTATAGATAATTGTATAATCCGTGCAAAACCTGGGCGAGGAGCTAGTAGGTAATAAATGTGACAGAAGAGTTAATTCAAAATATTTTCCATAGTTGCTATGCTTGGCAGGCGAGCTTGCAGCCGCAGTTTTTATTATATTGTATATTATATTGTTATCACGATTATTCTGGTACGTGTCGCTGCTGCTATAATATATAATTTACTAGTAAAACGCTATATTTTTTGGTATAAAATATTAGTACTATCTTACCATCCATACCATCTGGATGATTGGCGGTCCACCACTGTGCGATTTAGAAGAAGTTTTCTCCCTCGCACAACTTCCTTGTGGAATCAATTATCACCAGCGAATTTTCCGGACCGATACGACTTAGGAACCTTCAAGAAAAGAGCTTACACCTTTCTAAAAGGCCGGCAACGCATCTGCAATTCCCCTGGTGTTGCGGTTGTTCATGGGCGGCGGTAATCACTTACCCTCAGGTGAGCCGCATGCTCGTTCGCCCCATCTTCTATAAAAAAAAAACATTACGTCCTGCTACTGTGTGCGGGCTTTTGGCGTCATCTCATTTCTGAATGGGTTTTTAATAACGACACGACATGAGTAGGTAAACTGATTTCGGTGCCGACCAGAAAATTTCATATCTGAGAAATTTTAAACAATGGAAGGACGTGTGCACTTTGTGAACATGCATTGATGCAATACGCCGACTCTTCTCCGCTCTAAAACTTTCAGGTACTTCTTATTTTTAAAACAGAGTTTTCGGGTATCACCTAAGAAATAACTAATACGGTATGTCGCAAGACGTGATTATAAGTATGAAAAGAAGCAGAGGAAGTCTTTTAAATGGCAAGTTTTTTTCATCCCTGAGGCGCTTAACAGTGGAATGTTAGAATTTCATTCATCAAAAAATGTTCATTCAGGGTCCGTTTTGTTACCGTAGAAATAGAAAAAAATGTGACCATAATAAGCGTAAAGGGGACCTTTAGCGACGTGCCGTCTGAGTCTCTCATGCATATACAGAGTGTTTAAAATTTATTACAAATTACTTTTTGTGTATACTTTATTAATAGTAACGTAATAGTTATTTTATGTCACATGTTCTAAACTAAAACCCTTTTGTAAATAGAAAAAAATAATTAATCCAAAATAATACTACAAAAATAACATCTGTGAGCTATTTCTGTATTTCTGTGTCCGATTCTGTATTAATTTTTTAATATTGTATTTATACATTCGTTTAGAATGATGAAAAGTCGTAGATATTGGTGATGTGATGTGTGATGGTAGTTACCTTAAAACTTAGTACGTAGGATTATGTGACGCTTCCTAACACACTAATAATAAACACCATGATAAATAATAGTAGTGTATTTAAGGAGTCTTCTCCAGTAACATACTGAATACCTAATTACATCTGTCACGCCTTGAACAATCATAAAGATTGTCAAAATCTAATTTTCTGATTCTTCTACGATGACATATTATTTAGTAGGCGTCATCACGCTAACAATAGATGACTGATGTACTATACAAATATTTGGTTAGTTTAGTTTTGATTCCATGAATTTATCATAGTGATTACAGAATGAAGTTGTGTCACAAATTCTCCCTTCCTCTTACGCATAATCATTGATATACAAAAAACC